CACACACACACACACACTCACTGTAGCTGGCTCTTGATGGTGAACGTTATTGTCTCTGCAGCTTGGAGGATTTTCTCCAAACACACGATGTCGTAGGTGTTCGGGTTTCGGAAGGGGATGTCGTCTGGAAGGCCGCTAACCTCCACGGACTCCGGACTCCCGCGGATGAGCTTGTACGGGACCACGACGGAGCGGTCGAGGCCCAGAGCGTCACCTGAGCACACAGCGTGGAGGAGACCGAGCCTTAAGATCAGGGTGACGGTCGGAGCGAGAAGACAAACATCGTGAAATGCGTCGACTCACCGTATTTCTTGTTGAACAGCTCCTTGACTTGCTCTCGGAGGACGACTTTCTCTCCCATGCGGTTGACGTCATCGTCATCTGCGGGGTGAAGAGTCGTCGTTAGGAAGAAGAATAACGACACAGGGCTGTGAAACATTCATGTACTCACCACTGATCGAGGCGTAGGCCTTCTTCAGCAAAGTGACCCGTCGAGGCGCTGAGAAATTATTACATGACATTAACGTGAGTTCTCTGAGATCGTGGTTAATTCATAATCAGAGTTCTAAGAAATCCATGTTCCAGTACCTGGTTTTGGAATGAGTCCTTGAAAAGGTCTGAAAAGGAGAAAATGAGTAAAAGTTAAAAAGAGAAAATGAATCTCGAGGTTTTCTAAAACTAGAATTACTTCACTGACAAATATTAAAGTCTGTTTGTTATTATGAGGAATATTTGTAGTTTTTAAGATGAGGGTTCTTTTTCTACCGGATGCTACTGAATTAAATTTTGTTGGCAAGGAAATCAAATAAATGATTTAAATGAGAAGATCCAGGGATTTCTCAACAAAAATATTTCAAGATTTTCTGTATTTTGATGTTGATCAGATGCTAAAAGACCTAAAACTGTGAATATTGACTCGGTGTTGTTCATTCAGCTGCAGACACTTGTTCTTATAAACTGAAGGGAGCGAGCTGTGATCCAGGCTCTCATCATTTCTGTCGACCTTCACAGAACTTATCTCGACCGATGGATCTTTATGAATGTGTCACAGTAAAGAACCTGCATTTATTCATAACAGCTCTCGCTGCATGATCCCGTGTCGTGTGTTGTGGTTCCCACCTGGTGATGGTGAAGCTGATCTTGTCAGCGACCGCCAGGATCCTCTCCAGGTTCTGCGAGCCGAAGGTGCAGGGCTTCCTGAAGGGGATGCCGGGGGGGAGGCCCTCGATGATGACCGAGTCTGGGTTGTTCTTGATCCTCTTGTAAGGCACTTGCACCGGGTACTTGATGCCCAACGCCTCCCCGTACTTCCTGTTGAACAGATCCTGGACCTGCTCTCGCAGCGTGTTGGCCAGGTCGATCCTGGAGAGCTTGGACTCCAGACACTCTGGAGACAGAGGACAGAGGACGCCTTTCTAAGAGTCCACTCCGACAGTGCACGTCTTAGAATCTGCTGCAGTGACTGAGCTCTTAAGTGATAAATGGCGTCTCACTCAGCTCATTAAAGTTTGAAACATAACTTTGTTTTGATGAACGTACCTGAGAAGCCGGGTCTCTTGGATACAGCTGCAGCTTCGTCCGTCACCGATGCTGCGTCCTTGTTGTCCAGATCTTTGAAAAACAAAAACATTTAAAGGTTAAAAGTTTGGTTTTTTAATCGCCTCTTTAAGATTAACAGAACAAAACCAACGCTGAGAGCTGCTCGTTCCAGCAACTGAGCTTTGTGGAAATCAGGAAATCCCTGCAAGCACTTTGTGTTGATCCTCCAACAAAAACAAAGCGATGAACTGGATTCGACCTCGGAGTTTTGAGCAGAGAGTAAAGTGCAAACAGTCAAGTTATATTTTATTATACGACCTGATATCACAAATCCAATTTATACTACGATCCTCTAGAAAGTTTCTGCACACAGCTTTACTACAATACTACTTCTACTATCCTCAGAACTTTGACTATCGCAGTGAAATTACTGCAGTTTTACACAGGTTTCCAATATTCACATAAAAAGAAAGTACACAGTAAAATAAATCACGGACGTGGACCCACCTGAATCACACACGGGGATTGAAGGCATTTCTTGTTTTACTTGCTCAGTTAACAGCTCAGGCCTGAAGACAAACAAACATTATTAAACATTGAGAAGTAAAAAACCCACATGAAATAATAAACATACTCTGACTCTCACCTCTTGATAACAAACTGGATCTGGCTGCTCGCAGACAGGATCTTGCGCAGTTTGGCCGCTCCGAAGCAGTTCGGTCTCCGGAGGGAGATTCCGTCCGGCAGCCCGGTGACGTACAGATCGTCCGGATACATCTGGAACCTGGAGTAAGGAACCTTGGACGGTTCGGGAAGCCCCAGAGCTTCAGCTGAGAGAGAGAGGAGAGAGGCAAGAAGATATTTAAGTAAAGGAGCAGGGGCGTCGCAACAGGACGGGTCCGAGTGACAACGGATCAAAATCTAAAGAAATTCAAGAAACGCACGTGAGACAAAGAGTTTAAGAGACAAAAATCGAATCAGTTCATATTTGAATCCAAGAATTCGAGTCCAAGGTCCTGAGATTATCGTGTTTACAAGAATTGGACTGAAACCTGAAAACATAAATTCCTCCAGTCGGCACGGAGCCATAGAAACACTAATCGTCTGTTACCTAATGTTATTTCACATCAATGTTCACTGTCGACGATCTGCTTGTTTCACACTGAGGCTAAAAACCCTCTGATGCTTTGCACCTCGTTGTTCAAACCCCTCCGACTCGCTCCTCACTTGACAGACCAATTCCAACATGTTAAATAATTTAAAAAGCCTAAATGTTACGACATTAATATTCAAACGGGCTTTAAAAGCTCAACCTTTTTTAATCTCTGTACGTCGGGAACGTGTGTGAACATGCGGAGATCAAACTCTTACAGAGAAATGAACGGGCCTGACAGAACCTCCCACCCTCCTGTGAATGACGGCAGAGCTCCACCACCACGGGTCGCTTACCGTACTTCATGCCGAAGAGGCTCTCCACTTGTCTCCGGAGCTGAAGAATCATTTCACCGATGTCCTCCACCAGACTCCCAGCTGAGTGTGTCAGAGGGGAAACGGCCAAAAACATTTACACCGTGAACGTCAAAGGAGAATCATCACACGAGGGCGGCTCAGTTAGCGGGTGTCTCCTCACCTGTGTGAACATTACTACTGTTCCCTTCGCCAGTTTTATTTTGATAAATGCTCCCTGTCCTACGCTGACCCGGTAAAGACAAACCGGCCGCGCTGTGTATTTATCACCGGGGACCGTAACAAATGGAGGCTTGAAGGAGGGAACGGTGCGAGTTCAAAAAACGAGGCTGAAAAACAGTTGGAAGTGATTATTGAGGTGGACGTGATTAAAAGCCCCGAGTCGACTTTACTGCACCTGAAGTTAAGGAAAACAATCCGAGCATAAAACTGAGAGTGATCGTGACTACGTGCTGATCTCACACTGAACTTTCTCAAGTCTCCGTGGCTAAATATGGGAACTTCATGTACTCCATCACTTCACAGGCACGTGTGCAGTTTGGACATATAAGGGCTGCGTGCACGGAGCCGGAGCCACAGCTGGAGGATCTGTGAGTGTGTCGTGCAGCTGTTGTGTTTTATTCCAGTCTGTAACCAACGCGGTTTTCAGACATGGACTCTGGAACTTTCCTAAGTTTGTGGTTCACACATGAAGAATGCGGCAGGAGATCTTTTTTTTCTGCCGATCAGACTCGACCACAGGAAAATGTCTGGAACATTCAGGCGAGGGTTGGAGCGAGCAAGAGGCAGGACATGACGTGGAAATGACTCGTCTTTGTCGGCATCCTCTACGTGCACGGCTCCTCTTTTTCAATCATGAGATATTTGTATTCTTCCGGTTTTGCGTCACCAACATGTCCATCAACATGTCCATCAACATGTCCATCAACATGTTCATAAACATGTCCATCAACATGTCCATCATGTCCA